TATATATTGGCAGAGATATTTTCTTGAATAGTGATATTACCTCTTACTACCTAGCTAATTTGATTGAGATAAATGCAGACAAATGTCTGCGTCAACAAAAAAAAAAAGAAACAATTGTAGTGTGTGTTTAACAAATAATAGTGTAAATAATAAATTTTAGAAAAGGAACACAAAGCATTTTATTGATTTTTGTTAAAAAAAAAAAAAAAAAGGTTTAAGGTTGTAAGTGAATCCAAATCCCTTGACTTGGAATATTTTGATGAACCACAAACATGAGATAATTACCGGACGGTGCAAGAACAGCGGTCGGCGGCATGGTTACCTCCACGTCGTAAAAGTTCATCCCCAGAACAATCACCATGTTGTTTCCTAGAGCCAGCTGCCTCTGGTTCATGGAGAACGAATGCGTCGAAAACGACGGCGCCACCAGTGTTACCACCACTCTGTCCTGAACCACTGGCGCGTCGCAGCTAAAACGGATTGTTAGCTTTTGACCGTAATACAGGTTTGCTAGATTAGCCGGTGCAATGATTGTTGGACGAATATTGTTAAATAGAAAGTCGAGATAGTCTGGAGAAAATGCTTCCAAACTTAACTCCGTTGGGAAAAGGACTCCGGTGAAGTTGTAATAAATATGAGGATTGCTTCCACCGACGAGGACCCGGCCGTCACGGAGTAGCACCGCCGAGGAGTGGTACATCCGTGGAATGGTGGTCGGGTTTTGTATCTCAAACCGTAACCCAATTGGGTTGTCGGGTCTGTAAATGACCGGATTCAATACCGGGTCCCTACCATTTTCCCATCCGGCAGTACCTGCCGCAGCACCGTTGATGATCAAGACAGTACCGTCGGGCAGCAATATCATGTCATCCATGACTCTGGCTTGCGGCATCATCTCCATGACCCACTGAGGATTCGGGTCGGTTATCTTGATCCGACCGCAGGTGTTTAAGGCAGGCAAAAAAGTACCATTTACAGCCAGGAGATAAGATCCTTTCGGTGCTCCGCCGCATATCAACACTTCAGCTTCGAGAGCTGGACCTTGTATATTCTTCAATGGAAGCAGCACCGACGATCCAGTGCTGGGGTAGCTCCGGGGATCGCCGCCGGGGATTGATGGGTACATCTTGACTACTCTGTTGTTGACATAATCAAGCAAAATAGCTCTATTGTTCGCAAATATGAATAGATTACCGTCGACATTAAGGTGACAAAAAGGGTATAGATTATTCTCCACCCCACGTTCATTGGTCTCCGACAAGAACGGTAATTTGAACAGATCCGGAGCGGTATTCTTCGGATAAAACTCATAATTAAATTCCCTCCGACCGCCGACGATAATTTGTCTGCCATCCGGTAAAATTTGATTGGTGGCGTACCATCTTCTAGCCGCCAGCCCATTTTCAATTTCCACCCAGTCGCAGCTCTCGCATGGGGTGAAAATCCTGACTCTCCGTTCACCATCATTGAATCCCCCTGTTTGAACGAGACGACCATCAGGCATCAGAGCACCCGAAGAACACCAAACATCGGTCTGCACAGTCAAAGCTCTGAAAGTATTGACCGGAACATTGTACTCTACAGAGTGAGCTGTACAATCTACTGTCAAAGCCGTGTCATGCGGGTCATTCCGGCATTTCCCGTCCGGTAAAGACAGATTGGACTTACCAAAATCCGTTCTGTCAAATATAATCACCTTATCATTGTTAAGGAGCTGCATGTGCATCCCAGATATCCCAATACTTTTCTGCAGGAGTTGCCACTGGCCTCCGGCGGCAGAGGTGAAGATACGGCGGCGACATGGCTGAGAGGTGAAACAGAGGAGGAGAAAAAACAGAATAAATGTTGGAGACATGGGTTCACTTTTCTTCTTTGTTTTTTTGCTTTTGGATTATATAATGGTGATTGGATTATATGGGTCAAACTCTGGAGGAGTAATGGTAGGACTGTGTGGGGGTGCTGCTCCTCAACGGAGTCTGTCTCTGGTTTTAAATGCCTCGAGAGGGTAAAAGGACAGAGGAAGAAGCAATGAGCAGTGAAAGTTAAGCCCAGAAGCAATGTTGGCGCGTGGGAATAGGAAGTTTCCAGCCGGTGAAAGGATGTTTATGT